TATTCATCTCTTTTCCTATTCCTGCGCTCGAATGTACTGACTTGACAGAAATTGTTAGATGAAAGGTTGCTCTTTGTTTGGCTGAATAATAATTGGTCAATAATCTATTATTGGAGTCCGAGCCTCACGCAGTGTGCAGCATATCTACTTTCCATTGCTCTATTTGTTACATTTTTTGAAAACTAGATGATAAAGGCCAGTTCAGCCGATGCCTTGGCCTATGGTTATTACTACTGGCAGCTTTCTGGAGAACTGTAGAACCAACCACTTCCCACTTTCCCGCCCATACCCAGTTTGTTAAGTACTGCGAGAGTTTCAATACGAAGAGACAGCGTATTTTGCTTGCCCCTGCTTTATATCTTTAATGTTACTTTGGAAAGATGTGCTGTCTCTATGGATTTTTTCTCGAAACCGCCTGACATTCTTCGAGGTTCCAAAAAAATGAAAAAGAAAGAAAATCGCTGATCGTTAACAACGCTTTTTGCCCTGAGTGTTCCATTTAAAAGCGGGCTCCTGCTAAGAATTCGCTTCTATGACTTCTATGACTTCACCAACAGTAGGCCCATGACCTGAACAAAAATCTGCATTTGGATGTCACATGATTGCAGACTTTAATTGATTAAATCTAATCTGACATAAGCTGACATAGTAAAAAGGCCAATGAAAATCTTATGACCCAATCTCCTCCAACGATGCAACATATCATAAAATACAAAAAATACAACACTTGGAAATTAAGGGTAAATGTTTCAATTTAAAATCCAAACCTGGAACCATTTTACACGTTTCCTTTCTGTCTCCTACTTTGGAAATCCGTAAGGAAGGCCATTGTGAGCCAGAATATAATCTTTCTCAGTTTAATCATGGGCAATGTTTCAACTAAATCAAATCAACCTGCTAAAAAAAGCGCTCTGTCTGATTTGGCACTCCGTATGTGTAGCAGATTTTTGATCTCACTAATAGCGGTTGCTGCCAACCTGCTTACAGCCGATCACATCTTAACGTGGAGCTTGCCCCATTTGTTCTCTGTTCATGTGTATCTGGCAAACAGCCCTCGGATCCGTGGCTTGCCCGCTCCTGTCGTGCAAATCAGGGGTCAGAATCAATAACCCTTTCTGTGCCAGCTTTATTAACTGTATAACTCCTTGTTTGCGCGTGCCAGCCTCTCCTCGGGTTCTGCTATCGCCCCTGATGCCTTTCCCTCCCTCTGCCCTTCAACTCCCTTGTTAACTAGGTACAGAAGCACCTTTTTCGCCCCTCCATCTTTTCTTCTATCATCCTGTCCTTTTTCTATATCTTCTACTACTCTGGTCTCTCGTTCAGTTCGATGTCAACCCCTCCGTCTGCTCTGTGGAGGGAGGAGCGAGGAAGGAGGTGGCACCGGGCTCGCCCTGCCTCTTCTCTCGTTATCTTTATTAGTATGGCCTGTCAGAGCACACTACAATTTACCAAAGTCATCACTCACTTCCCCTCCTCTCCTCTGCGTGGGTTTGCCGTGTCCTCACGCCGTACATACGGGCCTGCGTGGCGTATGGATCTTTGAGTCAGTGGCATGGCCATGACCGTTGTTTAATTGTGCTGTGGCCGTGCGATGACGTCTTTTTCATTTTCAGACATCCCACAGAGCAGGCCCACCATGACCTGTCTGTCACTTACTTAACACTGCCCTCCCCAGAAACACTAAGTGCAGTGCTGCTGGAATTCCGTTTCTCTTGGTTGCACCAGCATGTTCACTGCATCACTGTTTCATGAATGCAGCGTGATATATTCTAAAATGTATTCCAAACGTGGTGACTAAACACATTCAGATTCTCTGTGGTAGGGTAATGTTGCTGGTTTAGAATTTGAAGCTCAAAATTTCATTTCATATCATTTGGCTGAAAAAACAACTCTATTTACGGGGTAATCATTTTGATGCCATAGCTCAGTGAATTACATAATAATGGCGCAAATATAATGACAATTAGACATGAGGAAGGTTTTTTATGATCAAATGTTCGCCGTCCTGCTTAACTTGATACATTTTGGATGATGGCCTATTAAACATGGAAATTGGGCAAGGCCACATTATGGCTGAAAAAAATGTGCTAGTATAAGCAACTAAATAGTCAATGAAGACCTTGTTTGATGTGAAATATGGGCTTAAAAAAAAGTCTGTTAAATCTCAGACATTATAAAAACATGCCAATTAACAGCCATATCAAAGCCAGAATGTTAATGTTTTAACTACTTATTTTCAAAGAAACATGAAAAATAATAAGATCCAAAAATCCCTTCTCATTTTGAGAACTTTGGGCAACAGCAGAAAATTATGATTAATTTGTGGCTAGATTATTTTTGGCGCAAACTGCTTAATTATTAATCTATACCTCATCATTCAGCTCCTAAACAAATCAGTCATTACATGACAATGAAGACTATAAAACATCTGCAAGCCTAAATGAGCCTTTAAAGTGATCCCTTAGCAATCTTCTCATTGGTCACTTATGTGTATTTTCACAAACAATTCTCCCCGTGTGATTACAACCAGATCATATATATATATATATATTGTTATATATATATATATATATATTATATATATATATATATATAATATATAAAGCATTATACAACTGCATACTCAATGCAAAATATTCCAATTCTCATACTCAATGCAAAATATTCCAATTGTACTTAAGATTGCAACATAATGGGCTCTTTAACTTCTGTTTGCAGTTCATAGGAAGTGATCATTCTGAGCGTCTGGGTTTGGAGCCAGACCTTGACTGAGTCAGCGGTTCACTGCAGGTTTGATCTGGTTATACAGAGTATACCGGCAGCTCAGAGAAAAGCTTCAGAGACGGAATGAGATGGAGAGCTTGATGAAAGAGATTTATTTTGGGTTCAGATTTGATAACCTGTATTCAGTCTTCCCCTGCAGTGTCCTCAGCCAAGGCTCTGCAGATGCTGTGTGCTACCTTTTCTCTCTCCTCTATCATAATTTATTTTCAATCAGTTCCACCTGCCTTCTGTGATGTGCTGAGATAAAACATTGGGCCGCAAAGCTTCTAAAGTGGATTATTGCCATAGAGACATGGTACAATTCTGCACCAAGGTCTAAGAGAAAAACACCTCTCGCTGCAGAATAACCCTAACCAGAACCCTAACCCTATAATGATGAAGTAGCTCATTAAGGTGGACATAGTTGTAGTTCTCATCGTCATTAACTATCTTTCCAATCTCCCTGACCCTTCTCCACCCGAGCAATTTTCCCCAGCCAAAACATCTACAGTCACTCCCATCTCCGAGTACTACCAAGAAGAACACATCCAGCAACTGGCGATTCACGGGAAACAAGACCTTCCCAACATAGCCAACGATATTCCCATCCCCCATCGACATGGTTATCCAGGAGCCAGATTTAAACACATCCTTACAATCTGCCGGGACTCCCCACCCTACCACCTTGCTAATCTTTCCATTGGCCTCAGCAATATAAACCAGAACCCCAAACTCATCGTCCAGGAAAGGATATTTATCCCTCCTGAACTTCTCCGCACATTTCACATCAACTTAACACCACAACGATCAACAACAACAGTCAAACACTTTCCGACACTCTCAGCTCTCCCAAGGCAAGGCAAGTTTATTTATATAGCACCTTTCAACACAAGGCAATTCAAAGTGCTTTACAGAAAATGAAAGACATTAAGAAAATGGCATTTAAAATCATTCATTAAAAAGAAAAGATAATAAAATAAACATTAAAAGAAAAAATACATGGATAAAAGTTACAGTGCAGTTTAAGATGTGAATAGTTCAATTAAAAGCAGCGACAAAAAGAAAAGTCTTCAGCCTGGATTTAAAAGTAGTAAGAGTTGCAGCGGACCTGCAGGTTTCTGGGAGTTTGTTCCAGATATTTGGAGCATAATAACTGAACGCTGCTTTACCATGTTTAGTTCTGACTCTGGGGACAGAAAGCTGACCAGTCCCTGAAGACCTGAGAGATCTGGATGGTTCATAATTTAGCAAGAGGTCAGAAATGTATTTTGGGCCTAAACCATTCAGTGCTTTATAAACAGCAGCAGTATTTTGAAATCTATTCTTTGACACACAGGAAGCCAGTGTAAAGACTTCAGAACAGGAGTGATGTGATCCACTTTCTTAGTGTTATTGAGGACTCGAGTAGCGGCGTTCTGAATCAGCTGCAGCTTTCTAATAGATTTTTTAGTGAGACCTGTGAAGACACCATTACAGTAGTACAGTCTACTGAAGATAAAAGCATGGACAAGTTTTTCCAAATCCTGCTGTGACATCAGTCTTTCAATCCTAGATATGTTCTTTAGGTGATAGTAAGCTGATTTAGTAACTGTTTTAATGTGACTGTTGAAACTCA